TTAACATCCGACGAGTCGCAAAATCCTGGCTCAACCTCCCTCAGCGAGCGGGGGCGGAGGGGGTCTACATGCCCCCCAGATGGGGTGGATGTGGACTCCTTCCGCTCGCCGACCTCGCCGACGTCCTGTCCATCGCGCACGTCTTCCGTATGCTTACGGTTGGCGACGCGGCGGTCAGGGAGTTGGCGTGGGAATCGCTGAGGGGAGTGGTGGGACGCAGGATAGGCCACCCCCCTAGTTGCGAGGATATCGCCTCTTTTCTCTCCGGCTCGCTGGAGGGGAAACTGAGGGGGGGAGGGGAGGCTTCGCTTTGGTCTAGGGCAAGGAGTGCCGCGCTTCGTATGTCCGAGAGGCTGTCCCTGCGGTGGCGGTGGGCCGAGGTCACGGGGGAGATGATCTTGGAGTGCCGGGGTCCCAGGGGCGTGGCAATCAAGATTCCGCCTGGTGCGCGCGCCCAGGTCGTGAATCGGTTGCGCTCAGCTGTAGCAGAGCACTACGCGAAACGCTTGTTAGACAAACCCGATCAGGGAAAAGTCTTCGAGGTGTCGTCGCGATGTGGGGTGAGCAATCACTTCATCCGCGGCGGCAGCTTTACTCGCTTCGCTGACTGGCGCTTTATCCACAGGGCACGCTTAGACGTGCTGCCCCTCAACGGCGCGCGGCGTTGGGGGAGCGGAGACAAGCGCTGTCGGCGGTGCGGTAAGGTATCGGAGACTCTTCCCCATGTGCTCTGTCACTGCGGCGTCCATGCTGCCGCGATACAGCTGAGGCACAATGCTGCGCTCCATCGGCTCTGGAAGGCTTGCCGTCTGCCAGGGGAGGTGCGAATCAACCAGCGGGTTGAGGGCATGCAAGGGGAACTTGGGGAGCTACGGCCTGATCTCGTGGTCAGGCACGAGCAATCCAAGAGTGTCGTCATATGCGACGTGACGGTGCCCTTTGAGAACCGTTGGCAGGCTTTCGAGGAGGCTAGGGCGAGGAAAATTGCCAAGTACTCGCCTCTAGCTGAGGAGCTCCAGCGCAGGGGGTACCGTGTGGTCGTGACGGCCTTCGTCGTGGGTGCCCTCGGCTCGTGGGATCCGAGGAACGAAGCGGTGTTGAGGCTGCTGAGGATTGGCAACCAATATGCGTCAATGATGCGCCGCCTAGTTGTTTCGGATGCCATTCGCTGGTCTCGCGACATCTACGTGGAGCATGTGTCCGGCATCCGCCAGTACCAGGCTCCTTCCCGTCCCTCTGGGGATGGGCTCGCGACGCCGCCCCGAGCCGTTCGCCGACGCTGGCTCGCCGAGGAACGGGAACATCAGGATGCGGCGCGTCGCGGCTTTGTGGATGCGAATGTCGCGTAATTTATTATGTATTTGTCTTGGCCTCCCCTTTTTAACCAAGCAGGAGGGAGCGGCCCGTGGTCCA